CAGCCCAAAAAGCAGTGAATGTTGGGGGTTTTTTTCTCCTACCTGCACCCATTTTCAGCCAGCAGCTTGCTCCTAGCTCCTCCAGCCCGTGTTGTGACGGGGAAGGAGAGCTGCCCAGCTCTTGGAGCCCTGCTTGCGTGGGATTTTATAGGACAAACTCAGACTATGAGGTTATACTTTTTAAAAATTGTAAAAATCAGGTGGTAGGTGTTCCTATGGTAGAGGGAGATGCAGTAAGTTGGTGGGAAGTCACTTCAGGACTCTGTAGTTACTCACTTCATTAAGTCTTTATTGTAACGATTTCAAGGTGCAACCCCAGCACCGTAATCAGATCCTGAGGTGATGGAGGAACAGATAATTGTAATGAGCCTTCCTCCAAAATGAAAGGCCTGCAGTTTTCTCCCCAGATGCTAACGGTACAGAGCAGAGTCAGAAAATGTTGTCATGGGAGCCCGGAGGAGCTGGAGATCCAAGGAGACCCTAGGGCTGCAGAGTTCATAAACAAACAGTAGGCAGATGCCATTAGCCAGAGTTGCTGATTTAACTTCTGTTTCCCCTTTCTATTTCTAGCTTGCTCTGAGAAGCACCCCAAGTAAATCTGCACCATCCTGGCCTCGTCGGTACTTGGCTTTCTGTAAAACTCTGGCAAAACCATTTACCATACTGGCAAGACCAGAAGAGAAAGGAACGGAAGAGCGCGAGTAATCAAGAGGCAGAGAGAAATGCTGCTCCCTGCTTCCGTGTGCCAGCTCAGGCTCCGTCCACACCGACCCCACCAGTGGCGCGTGGTGAGTGCTTTCTTCACCCACTGGCCTTTCATTCACGGGACTAAAATGGAGAATTAATTGTCAGGGCACACCTGCAGCTGGAGGATGAGTCAGCCCCAAAGGGTTGCTGAGTCCGAAGAACTTAAACAGCCATTGAAGTTGGAAAATGAGCATTTTTGTACAATCCAGTGCTAATGTCCAAGCAGGAAATAGAAATGAACTTTGGAATAAAAGTCAACAATTGCAAATGAATAAAAATGGGAGGAATGCTACCAGAAGCCCTTCATTCTGGTGATGTCACGGTTCCCAAATGCCCTTCAGAAATGCAAATTGCCTACAGTGTAATAAAAAGGGCATTTTCTAGAGTGTGCAGAGCTTGCATAGTTTAATTAAGCATAAACTAGGGTGACTCTGGAAGGGAAAATGATGTGGATTGCATTCTCTGAGTGACCTTGGAAAGGCACTTACTTTCTCTACACAGCAATTAAGTAAACTCACACTTCATATGCTGTCACTCCTATTCCTTTCCTTTATTTAGAAACGTATTTTTTTGTTCTCCCTGATTCCCTGATCTCACATTGATTTTTGTCTGTGCTTAGAAAAAGTGATTTGTTTCCCGCAAGGTAACTCAACATTTGTCTACAGCTTCACCATCTCTAGTTTTCTAATCTCTACTTCAATATTACTTGTATTAAACTCCTGCCACCTGCTTTCCTTGTTTTCCACCAAACTCTGACCAGGGGGCTGGATTAAGTTTCTGTGGCTATCATTTGAAATGCTTTCACAGTGTTAGTCTCTTGTGTTGTGGAGGCTCTAATGCCATGTGGCCAGCTGTTTTTATCAGATTTTGAAGGTCACTTTTGAAGCCCATTAGATCATCCAGCCTGGAGTTTCTCAAAAAGGAGGCTGTGACTGCATGGAGAATGCAAAAGGGGTTAAGGGGCTGGTTCCCAGATACTAAGGGGAAAAAAAAAAGGTGTTAGCAGCTGGGCTCCATTTCTTCCAGTTAGGGTGTGAAAAAAGTCTCTGATTCGTGGCTGTGAGCATTGCTGCCCAGAGGGAGTGGTGGTAGCAGCTCAGGTCTGTAGGACAGGCAGGAGTGGGACTTAGAAGGGGTGAGTGGGACTCCTGCCACCATTTCTTACATATTTGCCTTCAGCTTGACCTTTCAAAAAGACCCTGCCCTGTCTCCCCCCAAAAATTTGCAGAGGGGTGACCATCCCTGCTTTGGGAATACTTTTCTCTTGGTATCTTGCTGTGACTTTCAAGGAGGAATAGAAACTTTCCAAGGAAAATTTCCAAGGTAAAGAGTGGAAAGGAAATGTTCCCCTAGCAAGGGCAAAGCACCCGGGGGAGGGCAGGTGGGGAAATGGTGCTGATTCGTAGCTGACGCTGGAGCTGTGGTGGAGCACTAGTGAACCACACTACGAGGGCTGCTGACTCATGAAAAGGTGGAATACCCAAAAGGAAAGCAATGATCCCGGAGCAACTGCATCCCATTATGGTATGTCAGACATGTCTTTGATTGCACAAGGCTATAATTACTTACAGAGAATTGCGCTGTTTCTGAAGAAAGAAGAGGAAACAAAAAGAATTAGTCGCTGTGTTAGTGACTAGCAGGATCAGTGGATAACGCTGAAGGATTGCTTTAAATAAAATGTATTCACCTTTCATAGATTTATATTTATTTTTGCAATTTCAGAGTCAATGCCAATGATTCAGTACAATTTAACAAACCTTAAGAGACCCCGCAGCGAAGATCTGAAAGTCTAGGCATTAACTTAGGGGGTTGGTTCTTATCCACTCTGCATGTAAGAAACACGCTTGAGTATCTTAAGTATCTTATGAAAATAATCTTGAAAATGAAGATCTCTTGGTTTTGGGGTAAGAAAGAAAGAAAAGAAACAACTGAGCCAAATACGCACCGAAAATCGTACTAATAGCTGCATTACATAGGCACTAACACTAGATGGGGTGTAAGGAAAGAGTGAAGGGGAAAGCCGGGGAAGAGCGAAACCTTGGAGGTCCGAGCTACGTCAGGCACAGAAAGTGAGTTCAACCAAGCTGAGCACGCCTTCCTCCACGTTTTCAAACGCGAGACCTGATCATAAATGGACAAGGACTTGGTCACCCACCTTGCCCACCTCTCTGGCAGCGTGGATCTCCACAGCATGGGTATTTTAAACACACACAACGCACCACGATTAGTCTCATTAACTACGTTTTATTCATACATCGAAAGAGTACAGAGACGTGTCAGTGGCATAGACTGCATCAGCTCCTCTTTCCTAAAAAAAGCTCGATGTATATACAGCCTTAAAATCCTCCCACTGTAGCTAGCACACTGTATTAAATCTATGCTTATATAAACTACTGTTTTTTACAGAGTTGTATGCACTTCAGAATATGTTAAAAATTACCAGGTGGCATGTTCTGTTATCCTTTCTCACTGTCCTCATGGCCTAACACTTGCAGCAAAAATTATGGATATGCATAGTTTATTTATTAATCAAAACAATTCCTATTACAGAATATAGGCCATGGAGACAAAACCGTTGTTGCATTTGGAAAGGCAGAAAGTGTTTTCAATGCTTAGTGATTTCTGTTGTTACGGCTGCATCCTGCAGCTTTTCCTTGGGAGCAGGAAGAGCAGAACGAGGCTCTCTAACACCCTGAAAAATGTACTGTAACCTTATCTTCATCAACGGGTGCTTTTTGGCCTCCCTCTTAGCAGCTGTGACCTCCTGTGCACCAACTCAGCAGAACAGGCGGGCCAGTGTCTGACTCTGGGCTCCTCCTGAAGCCGGAGGGATGCTGAGCTGGGCTTTCCGACCAAGCCCCACGGCCGCTGAGCAGAAGCGGTACCCTGCCCGCAGAATTCATTTCCCTCACTTTCTTCTTCTGGTCCCGTGTGAATGAGCTAGACTCCTGTGGATCACTTTATCCTCTCTGTTAAGCCTGTCTCTGCAGAGACCGTTTTAGTTTAATTCAACTTGATAGCCAAGTTTCAAAATCCCTTTGGCTCTTGAAACAGTACAGTCTCCTGGTATTCGATACACAAGCCCTGCTCCACCATCCTCTTGCTTCCCTTCAAGTAAAAAATGCCGAGATCCAATTTCTCTTAACTAGCTTTTAGCTCTGACTGATGCCCCTTGCTGAGTGAACAGTACTCACAGTGAGCCCTAAACAAAAGTGCTGGCGCACTGAGAAGTGCCCCTCCTCATCAGAATATCTGACTCTATTTAAACATGCTCACTCGACAGAAAAGCAAGAAAAAAATGCCTTCCCACAACACAGGTTAAAGAAACATCGCTTGCCAGCCATACTTGCTTTAAAAAGTAAACTGGGAACATGGTAAGAAATTGCATTCACTGGCAGACGTATGAATCATTTCTTTGCTTTGTTGGATTTGTTAGCTTAATGCTAGGAGAGGTACTGCTAAAACCTGCTGCAGAGGGTTGGTTTGCATCTACAGGTCTGACTGAGCCACCGGGACTGACGCCGCACAGGGACTCGGAGGACAGAGTGCAATACTTCAGAGGGCTGGATGGGCTAAGTTGCCAATGCAGTTAAAAATAAAACCAGGATGAGCACCTCTACAGGAAAAAAAAATAACACGTCATTTAAAAACAGAATAAAACTAGTTACGTCTCTGAACAGGAATAATTTTATTTAATAGCTCTGAGGCAAAAGTTGGGGAAGGCGGTGATATTCCAGGTCACTGGTAGGTTGTGACTCCTCATGGTAGTCCTTGTGCATAATCCTCCCCTGCAGCACTGTTCACTTCTTGGATGTCAGAAAGGCTGTGAGAACATCTCCGTTTGTGGTAACAGGCCATGTTTCACATGCCCAGGGCAAAAATATGAAGCTCACCCAGGACAGAGATGGTGAGACGGCCCTGAGTATGAAGGACAGTTTCCTTTGCTCTGCCTGCTTTACGCAGAGCCTCCCTATTATCCCAGGCAGCAGTGCAGCAGCAAGACATGATAAAACAACCTAATACGCTAAGTGGTATAAAAACTTATAGAAACATATTGTGTAAGTGAACAAACAAGGGCTCTGAAACACAGTTTTGTTGGGTAAGGACAGTGGAGAGCCTTTCCAGGAACACGGTCCCTTGCTGTTACCCTGACAGAGGCTCCACGTGCCAGGACTGCCCTGTTTAGGGTGACCGAATGCCTTCGTCTGTAGCACCCAAAACACCGATGCTTTGTTCAAGTCCTCCTGTTTAACCTTCAATGGCTTGGCAGCCTGGCAAAAGCCTGCATCTACCAAGAGGAAACCCTTCTTCTTGGAGGCAGGGTTAGCTCTAGCCTGGAACAGCTCCAGCTCCTTGGTTTCAAAAGACTTCATGATACTGAAGTCATATTTAGACCTCAGCCAGAAGGAGGATTCCCCACATACAGGTTATGGTGACCCAAACCTGAATTTATTGCTTGTGAGCTATGCTGAGGGGAGAATGCTGGAGAATAAATCATCTCATTGTGTACAGACAAGCTACAGCACTGCAGAATGGAGATGTGTGTTTCAGGCTAAACTTACGCTCTGCCTTCTAGAATGAGAGACCACTACAGATTTACATGTTAAAACAACTCAGAATCTACTGGGATCATCAGGAAGAATTTGAATTAGGGCAAAATGGGGTGGATTTCTGGAATACCTATTTAAAGAGAAAGTGGAGAGAGTTTGTAGTCGATTCATTCGTGGCACCAAGCAGACCTCTGTTATTATCTATGTTAACTTGTTCAGATCTCACAGTCTAGAAGTGACTACCCCTCTTTTCCTGGCTACCCAGTTACTGTGGGCTGGGCTATTTGTTACGCACAATTTGTTGCTGAAATAGTGATTCATGGAAGAAAAATGGCAATAGATTTTGACTTTCCCTTTAATCTACAATGAATTAAAATGATGCCTCAGTCTTACTATAAACCACAAAGACAGATTTTGAAGACAGACCTCAAAAAAACCAAAATAAAGTATATTCTAGAATGTTACTGTTCACTTTTACAATTCATCAGCAACCATGAAGAACTGGCTCTAGTCTTCAAAGCATTCCTAACATGTTAGTTTAAGAGTCAAGGTAATTTCTATGCTTTGTATGGCTTAGGCTTCGCTTTCTTTATCAGATATTCAATCCAAGATATTTTTCTGGGCAAAATTTAGATCATTCTTTAGATGTCAATATTAATCCTCACGCACTGCGCTCTCCTCTGAATGAGTGCAGATTGCAAAATGTCTTTGAAAAAGGATAAAACGGACATGTCATGCAGTAACCAAGTAAATGCAATCCCTGATTAATACGCAAGTTTGAAAAGTTCAGAAAATGTCACCATATCCATAGGTGCACCCTATTTTTGGAAAGGTCTCTTTTTGTTTTGTTTGTGTATAAATGTCATTCTACATGAATTTCACTCCAGCAGCTTTTCATAAACTCAAGTCAATGATGATATGTTCAAATATTTGAGTGTTTCCTTTAAAACTAGAGGCAAAGAAAAAATCTCTTCGATCCGTTGACACAGCTGTGAAAGACCGTGGTGCCTGCACATAGATTTCTTTGAATAATCTGAAGAGCTTCCTTTCACCATCCCACTGGTAAATCTGGGAGAAGGTGTAGTCACTTCCCAAGGCCAGGTAGTAATTGTTCTTGAAGGAGAAAGGCTGCAGCGTCATGGCTCCTCGGGATGGAAGAGCCTGTATCTCCACAAACTGTTTGCTATTCCATTTCATAACTCTGGAGTCGCCAATGAATCTCGTGAGCGTGATGTACAGGTCATCTTGCATCCTGAAACTCTTCACAGCCAAGACATCTTCCATGTTGGGGATTTCGCTGTGTGGGACAAACTTTTTGGAAACTTTGTTCCACTGGAGTATAATGGGAACCTGCGACCGGCTAGAGAGGATTAAATGTGATTTCCCATCTATATCGAGAAACTCAGCGTCGGTGTCCCTGAACCACTCATGAAGGGACTGGTATGAGTAAAATCCTTTGTTATTCCACTTGTACACTGTTGACAAACCTGCTTTAGAGCTATCTGCTATGACAAAAAACATTTCGCTGTCTATCTCAAAAAGCTCTATATCATTTGGCTTGGAAATGCGAGATACTTCGATATCCTGGAATTTGACAAATTTTGTCCAGCTTTCGTCATACTTGTAAATGTGTGAGCCACCAAAGAGCTGTGCCACCACCACAAAGACCTGGTCACCAACAAGAATGGCTTTACATCCCACTATGGACTGACCTATTGCCCAAAGAAAAAACAAAAAGCACATATATTAGCACAGTACAAAGCACCATTTAAACCACAGAGAGATTACCAGATCACCTCTCCCCTTTTTAAAATCTGCACCATCTCGTAATTTCGTCTTCTGCTACATGCTGTCAGAGCTTCTTTTCATGCTTTTTTTTTCCCCCACTAACTGGAAAGATGACTTCAAATGTTGGGAATGTCACATCCCTCAAGGTGTGCAAGTATGATGCACCCTAAAATGGTTGTTTCTTTTTATCCAGAATATTTTTTCTTTCTCTGTTTGTTCAGCACATGCCCCTAATATCCAAAACAATTATTTAAGTCAAATTTTACTATTCCAAAATAACAAGAGTTGTTATCTCATGACTCAGCAGGAATCTGAAATTCTCTTATTCTTGGAATGTCTATCTTTCCAGCTTTACTGGAAGAATGAAATACAGTCTATTTTTCTTGCTCCAAGAGGGCCAGAGTCAGCTTTTTGCTAGTGTAAATAGAAATATTGACGCATCTTGTGGATATATCATCTGACAGCAGGATGAAACAGATAAACCTAACTTGTTTCTGTTAAGTATTCTTGAGATTACGTTAAACTAGAAATATTTAGGAATATTGCAGTTGCCAGATTAGATCAGATTGGGTTATGGTCCCTTTTGAGAATTTCAAGTCACTACACAAGAACCACATTCAAAAAGTGACAAGTAGACTATGTACGAAAGGTTTTGTTGGAAGAAGAGAGGAATTCCTCTCTGAAGTGGACAGTTTAAGTAGAGCTATAGCTTCACAGATTCCCCTGTGCGTGCTTGGTCACAGTCACTGCGGGAGACTCACCCTGGCACCCCTGCGGGTCCCCTGCCCATCGCTGTTTCGCAGCCGACCTGGGATGATCGGCCACCCTTCCAGCGTGGGAGGGGTGGGATTTGTCTCAAGTACCCTAAGGTATCTGCAGCATAGACACGAATGCTCGAGCTGGTCATCCCAGCTCCTTCTGGTCTAACAAGTCAAAAAGCACTCTAGGAGAGATGTCACCTGGCCTGTCGATGTCTCCTTTTGCAGAAGTCAGCAATGCCTGTTCTCTGCATGTTGACTGTGAAGGCAACCTCGACCACTAGCTCAGCTCCATAAGCCCACGTTGTAAAGGGCTAAATTCAGATATCCGAATGCCAAGCATACACTTAGTAATGAAACTCCTCATGGAGCACATAGCTGGCTCCTGAGGTCTACAAAACACTCTTCAGGCTCCACAAAAGGCTCTTTACATGTCTGTGTCCCCTGGCAAAGGCCTCTCGTCCACATACATTTCAGAGTTGAGAGCTCAAGCTCAGGCCTAAACCTAAAAAAGCAAAATATTTCATTTCCCAGATTTCCTGATGGAGGGGCAGCATCTTGTACACTTTCGTTAGTGACACAGAGAGCTGACCTGAGGAGGTAGGTGCTTGCTGCCTTTGTAGACTTCAACCCCAGATGAGGACGCAGCACACTCTTTGTTTCCCAAAACGCAAGGTTAAAAATAATCTAGCACACATAACAAGGAACAGGAGGGAAGGGTGCTTCATGGACAAATTTAGCTCCTGAGACTTCGGAAGCAGTAGGCTGAAGTAGCTGGGGAATCGCGCAGCATGTAAAAGCTCTAAAGACCGACCCTGCTGTCATGGTGTGACTGAGCACCAGGAGTGTCGGTTAGGGACAGAATCGTTGTTAGCATTAGAAAATCACCTGGCATCCACATGGGCTTTTTGTTTGATGAGCAGTCTGGCCAGGACGCCAATTCAGCATGTTTGTAAATGAAAGCTTTACAGCACACCTTTTAGGTAACAACCACGGTTTAAATATTTCTAAGTCATCTTCAGCTGTGAAACACGCTTTCCGGGCCAGCCCATCCTAGAAGCATCCTTCAGACCTACTTCCTTCTACATGCAGTGGAGTATTTTTACATTCTGTTTTGCAGGCACTTTGGCAAGAGGGAGGGCTCCATCAGCTTTAACTTGCCGTGTGAGTCAGGCAGCGAGTGCTAAGCTGGGCCACGGCATGACACTCGCAGCAAGTGTTTGTGCCTTCAGAACAATTTATAAGATCAGACAAAAAAAGCCTAGTTTGGGTGCTACAGCGAGGTTAAATGTGCATGTTATTAATCAGATGCATGACTGCATGAAGTCGCTCATCTCCAAACATTACACACTTTGATTTGCCAAATTCAACAGCGATTTGGGACAAAAACCATCAGCTGGTCCCATCTACGAATCTCGCCCTTGCGAAATGCCAGCAGTTCACCACTGACTGGAATCCCAGTGTTCATGTACCTGTGATATTGTCATAACTCCTGAAATTCATTTCAATGTGATCCCACTCCAGCACCATGCAGTTCTCCATGCTGGGCTGTGCAATGGCGACGAACACATCATTCTTTGAGTTGAACGTATCCACTGAAACTGACTGGTAGGGCAAAATCTGGTGAACAACAAAATCTAGAAACATACATTTACAACAGTTAGGATACATCCTTGCTGGAAACACAGAGTAAGTGGTCACTGATTATAATGATTTACACAGAAAAATGAGTGAAATACTCTGAATTTTGTGTAACACTAGCATGGAAGTGTCAGTGCTCACGTCAGGCATGCAGCAACCAGGGGAAAGCGTCTCCTGCTTTAGGCATCATAAACTGTCCTCCGGAAATACAGCTGCCAAGGAGATCAGACAGGTAAATAGCGGCAGAAATCGCATTTTCCAGCAAGGCTGGCTGGTATCAGTGAAATCAGGATATCGAGAGAGAAGTCTCTTTCCCCACAGCTGGAAGTTGCTTTCCCGTCAAGTGAAATGGCCTTGCTAGAATCACTTTCAAGCTGAGAGACAGCAACTTCCAGCTGAAGTCCAATAACTTCTTAAGTCATGCAAATTTAATCACTAGCAATTTGTGTTATGCTAAACCAGGCAGAAAGTGAAATGATATCTGAAGTTTGCCTGGGGATAACCCCATTTCAGCTAGACCATAGACAGAATGGTGTAATCAAAAACTCAGTTAACATAACATTTTATGGGGCATTGTAAAGTAGTTTAGGCATAAAATACAACCAACCTGCAAATTACTACCCAGTGGAAAACTTACTCTAGACACTAAGACTGAGGAGTTGGAGCAACCTGCAAAGACTAGGAGTGTAACTCCAAAAGTCAAGATTTTTTTCTCAAAATCTAACTGCCGTTGTAGATTTAACTCTAAAATTCACCCTGGGCTAAGCCAGCAGTCAGCACAGAGACAACGTGGGGCAAAGCGAGGAGGCTTGGGTCTGAATTTCATCTTTGGCCTGACAGCTGGGCAAGGTCATTATTAGCAGAAAAAGAAGCCGGTATAGCAGAGCTGACAAAGAAAAGCCAGCACTTGGGTCTAGAATGGTGGCAGAAGGCCTGCGCTGAAGTGATCTGTCAATATAGATATATAGAAAAGGAGATGCATCTTCCGCTACGACGGCATTTCTCTGCAGAACCACACACCGCTCTGTTTCAGGCTGCGTTTGCTACACGCCTTCACCATGCACTCCGACACTGGCAGGGCCTGAGCATCCAGGGATTTTGGTGAAATGGTAATTAAGTCCTCACTCGAGTCCCTCATTTTGGTGCATTATGAAATAATTGTTTTTGAATGAAGAACTCTCTGTCTCTGCATGCTTGAAAGCCTTGCCCTTGAGGAGTTACACTTCTGGAAAATAAAGACAGATGACTACCATTAAACAAACAGAGCAGATTCTACAGCTGCAAAAGAAATTACAGTCTCCATTCTTTGAGGGACTATTATAAATAGAGTTTGGGCTTGATTCATAAATGCTGGTAGGAAAACAAGAAAGTTATCTTCATTCTCACTGGGAAAATAAAAGGACTGGACAAAACTGACACTGAAGTATGCAGAAAGTAAAAGTAAGTGATAAATCATGAAAGGTAGCTAAGGACAGAACAATAGCAGGTATAGTCACAGAAAATCAAATTAATTTTAAATCGTGAGGAAAAAAACCAAAAAAACCCTAATGCTGAAAAAGACATCTCTTGCAATCTGAACAGTTGTGAAACACTTTGAGGGAATGTGTGAATCAAAACAAACCAGTCTGTGTGTTAAAACCCACCGCTCATTCAGAAATGATTCAGTGTTAACACTGCTATTTTTACTTGGACCCATCATTGGGCTCTTTATGTCACTAGATGAGTAAAAATGGGTAACAAAATCAGACATAATCCGTAAAAAGCAAAAAAAGTTGGTTTTAGCACCAGTTGGAAACACTAGACTCTCACGTGGAGCAGGGTTACACAGTAAGGAGACACTGCCACATCAGGCTTACCAAAAATTTAGGTCCTGGGGACTCGATTTAGTTTTCTGGGCAGGTCCATGTGCCTTGCTTTAATGCTAGAAAGAGCTCATACAATAAATACAGGTTGGAGGGTGGATACTTCACAACATTTTTTCTCTTTTAAGCTGAATCTGCCCGCTCAGGAGAGGGAAGGGGACGCGGCCCTTGCTTCTGCCACACTGCTGGCTGTGCAGGCTGCTGCTCGCTCCCTCTCACCCCGGTGCACAGTTTTGCTCTCTCTCTGTCTCAAGACACGTGGTTTTAATGCTGCTTTCTGCTGGCTGAGGGCCAGGGTGGTCCCCCCCGTTCTCCAGCCGCCTGCTCCACCTCTGCTCCTTTGGCTGCTGAATGGGCACGCGCTGTCATGGATGAGGGACCCAGCGCTCCGGTTGTTGGGCTGATCTACCTTCTGGCAGGTCCTGCTCTGGCTGGCCCCAGCACACAGGAGCGCCGATGCTGGCAGAGCACAGGGGGAATGCTGGAGGACACTGAAGAGAAAGGGGAGTGATGACCTGTTTGGGCAGCAGCTTCTAAGCTGTGTCCTGCGCCTCAGCCACCAGCTGGTCCCCCTGTCCTCATGGCTTTCTTCACTGCAGTGGAGACCTCTGCTCCAGGTGAGGCTGCCCGGGACCTGGGGGTGCTGTCAGGGAGCATTACCCACCCCTTCCCATCTCTGACCACGGCCACACAGGTGACCTCCAGCACAGGAGAGAGTACAGAGCAGGTAACTCTTAATCTGCAAACTACCTTCCTTCCAGCCAGCGGGGAAAGAGAGGACCACCTCCAGAAGGTAGTCTCAGCTAGGTAGAGACAGAGGAAACCAAGCTTCAGGAGCTCGGTGAGACGATTGCTGCTGGCAGGTCTGGGAAAACGGGTCCCAGGCACACACACGCAGCCTGCTTCCCGTGACTGTGGGAAGGCGAGGCCCTTTTTCCAGTCTCCTGAAAGTAAGTACACGTTCCCCTGCCACGCTTACACGGCACAGCCCCCTCGCAGACTGTCGCAAGAGAAAGAGAAGAAACAAAGTGAAACGGCTGAACCCGCTTCCACGATGCAAACTGTGAGAAATGGAGAAGAGAGAAGCTGTCACAAGAAGGGTTAAAGTGCCGATCACCGACACTGTGAATCGCTTTCTCTGTGAAGAAGCAAGAGGAGCGTTTTGTTCTTCGGCTTTGCTTTTTTGCAGTCTGGCAGCACCTCTTTACGCCTCTCCTCCTGTTACCATTGTAGAAGTTCAGCAGATGCAATGAGCTGATGGAGCCGCCACGACGTACATTTTACCAAGCAAACTGCTCTGTTACCATATCCTAAATCTAGTCACGCCCGACACAGAGTACCAGAGACCAGAAATGATGGAAAGTCTGATCGCGCCTGGCAAAGGAGGGAAATACGATGCTAGAGACTACCATGAATGAAAAACGTTTGCAAAAGCACTGCCTGTCGCCGAGCGGGAAAGGAGAATACACTGACAGGGTGCATAGATTTACTTCAGAATATGGCACAAGCCTGAGCCTGTGACTCCTCAGTCCTCACGGAATGAATATGGACACATTTACGCTCCCTTTGGATCCGAGGGAGGCAGTGGCAGAGGAGGAGAAAGCAGCTGCGGCCTGACGCCACAGGCTGCCAAGGCCACCGGAGGGTCACAGCTGGAGCAAGGCAGCTTGTGCCTCGGCGCAGGGGTCGTGTGGCTGTCTCGAGGGTGACACATTCCTGAAGATCTGCATTTCTACCCTGCTGATCTCTGGCTTGTCTCTTACGGGTCATTTCTGCGTACAGCCTGTCCCTCTCGGGCACTCTGTAAGGAGCCGGAGCTGCGCGTCTGCTCCCTTCACCCTCACTAGCAGGGGAGCTCCGGGAAGCCTGCTGCTGCCCACCCCCGGGCACACGGCCTGCCCTCACAGCAGCCAGCGAGCGACTGGTTCCAATACGTCCTTTACTCTCTGACGAGCGTATGAAAGCCATATGCTGTGCTGCGAGAGCCCTTCTCCGATGGCATTAGAACAAATACTCAGCTGGGCAACGCTGGCACCACCTGACGCCTTGGCAAACTCTACAGCGTGCAAGATTAGGTTGATGCTTGGTGCAATTCCGCTTACAGCAGAGGAAGGGACTGACAGTAGGGGTGAATTTTGCCTGTCGCTACTTCATAGTTAGCTTTCTGGATGCCAAGAGATGACAGAGGGCAGTTAGTGTAGGTCTGAGGACCAGGTAGGTAAGGCTTGTTCTCGCACGCTGTTAGTGCTGCCTAATTGCTTAAACCAGACGGAGATGAAATGAAGCCTGCTTTTACTTTGTCCTTTTGCATCTCGGAGGATTTGCAGACACAGGAACGTAACTTTGGTACCAGTCTAAGCTACAGTGCCCTTCTGTTTTTGACATCCTTTTATGTATCAGATTATCGTGCTTTACTTCTGCTATTCTTCTGACGTATTTTTGAATTCTGAGTTAATTCTCTTTTCCTTTACACATTGCCCTTGGATTAGCGTTCATACCTTGTCCTGAAACTTTATTTTACATTACTAGTAATCAACTTTCCTATTGGCTTTTAACAATGATGACTGACTTGATGACAGATGAGAAACTGAACACCTCTGATAATACCATATGGAAAAAAGGCAGAGTGCTGACATCATATACATGAAAGATGAAAAATAATACTCGCAGCTGATATTCTCAGTTATATGATGTGACTACATTTAGAGACAGGTAACTGCGGCTGTTCCATCATAAAATATAAGCATAACCACATGCAAGTTTCTCTTCACTTCCTTCAGCATGCTTTACATTACTGAAAATAAAAATCAAGATCCTTAACAAGACAGTAGTCAGAATATTATTAGACATTTCTTTCCAACTTAATGCAGTTCCATAAAAAACTGCCGGCAGTATGGCCGCCACATTTGATGCTATTAAATCGTGGCCTATTGAATAAAGATAACAGATATAGCTACATTCTTTGAACTTCTTCTCATTGCTTTCTGTGAAATACAGAGATTTTGGGAAGCTCATCTGCCGTAACTATATGGCTTTATTCCAGATAATAGAAAGCATTCTGTGATGAAAATTAAGTCACAAAGTGAGTCGTAATCAAGTCTTTTGGAATATGAATAGTCACAGCTCTTCTCCCATTATCGCTTGATGCAAATAAAAACTCAGTACTTACTTTGGCTTCAAAACGTAATTTTCCCCTTTTATGCTTGCTCTAGTACTCGTTTTTAAGAGCTTTGTATGTAACCCTTTCCTCGCCCCAAGTCATGCTCACAGAAGCGAAAGGGTATCATCTAAACTTCTGATATTTAACCATTTGTAGTGTGCTTAGAAATATACATTCTGAATACCTGTAGTGGTGCATTCATAAGCAAAACTTGTCACATCATTTAACTTCTTATCCTGATATTCTGCTGGACCAATACACAGGACATCAGAAACAGTGGAATTTGTCATCTTTAACCACAAAAACAACCACTTGGCTTTGCAGTCACACTCAAATTTATTTCCCCTTAAATCTCTAAAAAACACACAGAAATAAACATATTTGAAAAGGTTGATAGCAATATGAATACTACAGAACTGTTATCACCTTGACATGCTGAATTTAAAATACCTGAGTAGCCTTGAATTGGTTTTGAACTGAGAACAGGGAAGTTTCTTAAGTTTTACTTGGGCTCCCTTAATACGGACACCCCTCCACTGAGGTGCTGCCCTTGGAAAAACTGTTTCAGTCTAGGAAATATGCCCACGCGTAATCTTACTGACAGAGCGCTGTGATTCGCCTGTAAAGTCACCCACGTTTGTAAGTTCTTGTAGGACAGGACTGCAACGTAATAACTCCTGACAGCGTGGCTGTCTGCTGCCAGCCTCCGTCCCACCACCTACTGCTGGCGCAGCTAAATCCCATTCCTGCACTGGAACCACTCCAGTACCACTGGTTAAGAGAGCGGCCTTGCTGATACCGTTTCTGTGTTACACTCAATACAGACAGAAGGCTTGTATTTTTAGAGTCGCTGCTGATGTGGAGTCAATTTAACGTCCCCTACTAATGTATGTGCAATTTCAACACTGTACCTGTTCTTCAGTTCCTTGGCAATTTTTGTGGCTTGCAATTGTACTTCGTTATTTGGGAGAGCCCGGCCGAAAACAGGGGAAGCTGACTAGCAGCTCAGTTATATGAGAAAACACTGACAGTAAGTCAGCAATGTGCTACAACTGCACAAAAATAAGAAAAGAAGCATGCATTATTTTAATGAATCCCTCTTACTAAAATAATCTCAGGGAATACATGCAACAGTACCAGGAAAAAATGTTTCGAGAAATTGTAGTTTTAAAATTCATTGTCTCCCCTTCCCTAAAAAACAATCTATATGAAACATCAGAAGGAAGTACAATAGTGCAAGCTACATACAGCATCATGAGAAGCAACAGTGACCTGAGAAACAGCAGTTATTTCAGAGGAGTCTACCAAGTAAACAATTTTAAAATGAGAAAAGCTAGAACAACAAAACGCACATTTCGGTGCAGATGCCAGATACAGCACCACACAAACTCCACGCGTAAAGCCCAGAGTAACAGAGCGACAGAAGCAGGCAGTCAATAGAAAGAGTCTCATTACTTACAGTTCAATTAGAGAATCTAAATCACTGAACACATCCCTGGGCAGAGCTTTGAGATGGTTGTTGGCCAAAGAACTAGAAAAGAAAGTTAGACCTTAGCATCGTTGCTGCCTCTCGCCTGGCTGACTCTTACTAGGTCTGAGCTCACTTGGTAACGATCCGGTACTGCGCAGCCACTGGCATTGCTCATAGTTACTAGGAACAGGGACAGACTAATTATCCACATTCGAGAATGGTGATTGCTTGAAGCTGGCGTAAGTAAAATTTATTAAATTAATTAAAAATTGTCATTGGCCAGGTGAAACGTAGCACGCGGAGCAACCACTGAGCACGCAGCAAAGAAACAGGGCTGTTAATCACGAGCAGGGGGTACCGCGGTGGTACAGGTGCAGCAGCCCCGGGTCACAGCCGAAAGTGCCGCAGCGCTGCCCCAGCAGGACTTTTTTTAAGGCCATTTTGTAATTTGTGGAAGGCACGTTATCAACAGCGAGAGGAAGCTGATGCACGGAGGGGAAGGGAGAGCCAGCGGTGCCCCACAAGAGTTTTGTTCAAGTAGGAATTACTCTACCAAATGTTGAATAACTTACAGGTGAGTCAGGTCTCGGAGGCCACGAAACGCATTTCTTGAAATGGTTTCAATTTTGTTTCCTTCAATGAATCTAGGCAAAAAAATAAATATTTTAGAAGACTTTAATTAGCTGTATTGTTAGCATCACCAGTGCTTTAACCTATGGTCTCCAAATTCGGCAGGTTCCTGGGTCGCCCCTTCAGACTTAAAGGCGGGGAAGTCTCGGTGGAGCTGCTCATGCTCCCTTTTACCCTTTCCTCGGGGGGACCGCGGGGAGCGATGCAGGTACGGGGCAGCACAAGGGAGAGCTGCGTGATGCAAGTATCCAGCAGAAGAGGAGAAAAACAAACAAAGCAATCTCTGTTGGTTAATCCTTTCGGCATGTGTTACATGAGGCAAGAGACTTGTGTAGGAGAGGCCTCCGAGGTGGACTTCAGAAGCTAAATTCCCACCTTCCCCTCACAAACCACCTGCGTTTTAAAGCAACGGGGCAGCACAGCAGACAGAGGGTCTGACGGGAAGCTCCCGTGGTGGCACGCACTGTGCCACCTCCGCACCCACAGAGCCGTGCCATGAGCAGCAGCTACGTACTGGTGGGCACCCAAAGTCTGCATAAACGGCAAGACCACTGCCTTGTTTTCCTTCTCGCTGCCGCGGTCCGGCTCCCTGCAGCTGGGATGCCACCTCTGCAGGGTCACGGCCTGGTGCACTGGGGGAATAACAACAGGCACGTATCGATTCCAGGAGCACGCTGCTCCTCCTGACTGTGTGTCAGCGTTTAAAGAAAGAGCTGATATTTGAGCATCTTGACCCCCAAGCACTTGAGGACGCATCCCTAAATACACCGTCAGCCCTGCAAAGCGACTGCAGCCAGGTGGCCATCAAGATATTGCATGGTACAGCTGTACCTGCACAAAGACAACTGCATGCTGACTTTACAAAAGGTTTTATCAGATAAAAGTGTCTCCCTTCCTCCCACGCAGCCTTGTTTGCCTTCCAGGGAAACAGAGGAAAAATGCTATGAGCCAAGGTCTCATAGAAAGAGTCAAGATGGGGATGCAGATTATCAGTGCTCTGGGTTCTGCAGTTTAAACATAGCCAAAACATGAAGTGACCGGGACCCTGACTACACGCAAAGGATGCGGATGAGAAACTGCAGTGTCTGTGCGGGGGATGTCAGAAGAGGGTCAGCGGTGCTCCGTTACCAGGCTGCCTGGGGACAAGAATTCAATCCGCGGAGCAGAGCCAGCTGCCTCCCGACACCCTCACCGGCACCTGGCATCCCCGCACAGCGCCGGCTCTCCGGGCCGGGCACGTAAACACGGCTTCACTGCACGCATTGCAGCAAGACGGCGCAAATTTGGGCTGGGGCTCAGTCGTTTGCCAGATCCCTAAGTCACCAAACCCGGCTTCGAAGGGATGCTGCCCTGGGAACGCCACTCTGATCGCCAGCAAAGCTCCCGTCTTCGTCAGACCTGTCTCACCCAGACTCTGTAAATGGAGCCGGTTAGTTTTAGGGTGCACTGAATGCTACTATCAGTGCTGCAAGCGCAGCAGGAGACAGCTGGAGAGAGAGAGATATATCTATATATACACACATAGGCATCTGCTGTGGGTGCTCCCCAGCTGCTCTTCATCTGGAGACTTTGCTTTGTGCACAAAGAAACATCATTCTTGTTTGTCAGTGAGGTCTTCTTCCTCTCCGTAAGGTCTGATCACTGGTAACTGAGCGGTATGAGTTATTGAAGCTGTAATGGTGTTACTGGCTGCATGGCCAAAAAGCACAACCCAGAGAAAGGCCACTCACACCCAGTTCCCCAACGGTGGAGACGCCGTTTGCTGGGAAGAGGAAGAGCTCTGTGGACTTGGCAGGGAGGGCGAGCACCACCGTTAACTGAGGCCACTTGTTCGGCTGCTGCCAAAGGAAATGGAAACTGGAAGGCTTTACCAGCCTTCACTCCGCTCCTTGGTCTGCAGCTGCCAACCAGGATCAGAGATTTTCCCCTGGACCAGCTGAGGAGGCGCAGGAGTTTTGCCTTTCAGACAAGCGTCTGGCTGCAGTCACCAGCACAACTGCTACAACAGCACACGCGGCTGGGACAAGCTCCGTGTCAGACTCCTCAGCACTTGAAAGTAAGCCATTAATGAAACAATATACAAATGTTTTTCTTCCTTTTTGCAAACATTCTGCAAATCACTTTTTTTCCTGTAGACACATGGCAAAGAGAATAATTAGATAACTCGGTATCGCTGAAAAATCCAGACGTAGCTGAATGGTGGATTTCAGCATATACCATTCAACATTATCCTCCGTGTCTTGGGCTGCAAATTCCATTGCTGGCTGCTCCACACACAGCAGACTTAGTCCTGAGTATACCCCACCTTCACAGCTGCTTGCCTGCAAGGCTTTTGCAAGAATCAGTTTTGTGAGCATTGATCCTACTTCAGAAAAGACAGAAACTTTTCCACAGCTACCTTTCAGCACAGGAAGGTGGGTGGAAAGATGAATTTTTTTCCAGATTGTATTCAGAGTTTCAAACATACCAGCTCATGTCCGGTAACACAGAGAAATGGCAGTCCTTTGGAGTATGAAGTGAGGACAACCTGGTACCAGGGCTCATACTTTTTTTAAAAGAAAAAAAGGGTGACCTAAAATTAAAAAAAAAAAATCGGGAAATGAAGATAATGTAAAAATCAATGAAGAAAAGGAGAGTTAAATTTAAATAATAATATAGATATCTACAATAATTTATATGAAATATATATTTATATTCATAATTATTTATAATATAATGATAAATACCCCAGGCATTAAGTGGGACATCAGAACAAAGACGAAGTCGGAGCGGAAAGTTTAGGGGAACAGAGCCAGTCTGGTAATCAGGGTTGTTCTGGGCAGTGCACGGATACTCTGCACCGTCTCTCCAGGCTGCCAGCGGGCCACGAGAGCCTTCCCTACCTCTTTCCCAGGGTTCGCAACCCTTCGACAGCGATGGCATTGTTCTGGAGAGCCAGGACAAGCTCTTGCTCAGCAATGCTTTTTTGGTGTACCATAATTGCACAGAGCCATCTCGCATTCACGGCGTATTTTAAAAATCCACTGTAACCTCTGAAAAATGGTGAGCCATCATAAAGGACATTTGCACAGGAGTGGAACATAAATCCTTCATCTCCCCTGCTCCTGGGAATCACAGTAAAGACTCAGACTCCACAGCAGGAGTCTTGGCAACTGATCAAAACATCTTGATTTATAAAGGACAGGGGAAGACATAAAATACCAAACTTACAGGTATTCTAGATGGAAGAGACCAGCAAAGGCATCATCTCGTATCACAGTGAAGGAGTTGGAGTTCAGCAAGCTGAAAATGGAGACCAGGCATTAGGAAAGCACATTAAAACTTGACACACTGCATTATGCCTGTTGTGTTTATTGCCCGTGACCAAACTAATCCTACTGACTCAAGCCCCTATTGCCCCACCAGTGCAGCACACATAAAATACTGTGGAACGGTCTATTAAAGGTTGTCGACTCTGGTCCCCTGAGCAGGACAAGCCATCCTTCAAGGGTAGGTCTGCTGAGCGGGGACCCCGGGTGCCACCACCCCTCCAGCCACACCGAAAATTTTCAAGAGACCCTCTCGGCACCCATCCCGAGCTCGCGGGAAGGGGGTAGCCCTTTTGCGCAAGCACCAGCTCCCACTTGCGCGGTCTGGGTGATTCAGTGCTGGCTCCTCCTGTGCTCCCGAGGCAATGCTCCAAGTCTGACCTGCAGACGGGCTACAGCCCGTGGCGTGCGAGCAGAGCGCGCGGTTCATGCGGCTGGTTTGTCAGCCGGAAACGCAGACGTGCCCAAGCCACCAGAGACAGGGGGTCCTGCCGCGCTTCCAAAGCCAAGCCCCGTGTCCGCAGGCAGCGAGGGAAGAGCAGCGGCGCTGGCTGCTCCAGGCACCGCCTCGCCCTCCCGCGTGAACTTCAGGGACAAAACGCGTCAGAGCGGCGCCGGAGCGGCTGTCACCTGAGCCGGGACAAGGTGGTCAGGGAGAAGGACGCTACGGAATGGCTTTGCCAGCCAAGTTCCTTCTTTGCTGTGTCAAAGCACAACGATCTCCAGTGCTGATGTCCAAAGGCACGGAGACCGGTCTCCTTTTAAGAAAATAGCAAAACTTTTAATTTGGTCCCAAAATCGAATGCTACTCAAAGAAATCATTTTTGGGAAATCTTAGAATTTTCCGCTGCGAGTGAATATGTCTGCATTAATCGCTTTATTAGAGCAACTTCTTAATCCTCTCTTTGTATGGCTTTAGACATTTTGCTAAAATTAATTTAGAACACCAATGAACATGAAATGCAAACTTTCCCTGTGATCCTCGATTATTATGCTAATACCAGACAAATGCTCCTTAAATTATCCCACAGAAATCTGACAAAGATGCAGACCGCCATCAGAAATAAATCCTCACATTACTATTTTACCACGGCTACTGCCACAGAAGACGTAGTCCTGAGGTACCCAAGTGCTCAATTATGCATGTACCTCTTTTGTCATTTAATCATTCTTTTTTCTCGTGTTTGAAGGGAAAAGTCACAAATTACACTGACCCGCACAACTTGTCAGGGCCCAAGGTGGTCGTGGGGGCGGTCAGAAACCCCTCTTGCTCCCACGGCTGATCTACTGACTAAAGCGACATAGGCAACTCCTGACCTTCTCAACAACTGTCCTCCGCCCCGCCACCCCACACCCCAACGTCTCCTCCTGGAAATCTACAGCTAAGAAAAAGGGTAACCTTCTATCTTCATGAAGCTAATGAAAAGGGTAACCTTCATCTTCATCTACCCCATGAAGGGTAACCTTATAGAATCATGGAATCGCTAAGGTTGGAAAAGACCTCTAACATCAAGTCCGACCGTCAACCCAACACCACCACGCCTGCTAAACCGTGTCCCGAAGTGCCACATCTACATGTTTTTTGAACACCTCCAGGGATGGGGACTCCACCACCTCCCTGGGCAGCCTGTTCCAGTGTCTGACCACTCTTTCAGTAAAGAAATTTTTCCTAATCTAACCCTCCCCTGATGCAACTTGAGGCCATTGCCTCTCGTCCTATTGCTAGTAACCTGGGAGAAGAGACCAACACCTGCCTCACTACAACCTCCTTTCAGACAGCTGTAGAGAGTGATAAGGTCTCCCCTCAGCCTCCTCTTCTTCATCTAAACAGCCCCAGCTCCCTCAGTTGTTCCTCATTAAGACTTGTTCTCCAGACCCCTCACCAGCCTCGTTGCTCATCTGTCTTCTACCTTCATCTGCTCTTCCTCCTTCTTCCCACCACCACTATCCAAAACAAGCCTGATTCCCCTCATCTCAGATTTTTCACCCACAGTTTCTCTCAAACCACTCTTGGATTCACCCCTTTCCTTCCCAGCTGGCACAAGTCTGCTGTTTGCCCCTGTTCTCCAGTGGGCAAAGCTCCCCTGCCCAGGGCTCTGTGCTGGCCTCCAAGACCCACAAAAAAATTGGGTTTGGGACCGGTGCCACGCCAAAGAAGGTGAAAGCCTCCACCCCTTGCTTTGCCCACTTCAGCATTTTCCACGGGGTGCTGCTCCCACCAGACAGCGAGACAGGCCTGCCTTGGAGTCAGACAAGGTGGGGGTGCCCGAGGAGAGGAGGCTGGCCACCACGCTCCCAGTGCCTTCAGGGACTATCTCTCGCTAAGACCAGTTTTAACATCTAGCTCTGTGGCAAGCGCTTAGCCCGGCTTTCTGGCACGCCTCGCATCTTTGTGCTGGATTTTTCTCTGCTGCGTGTCTTTGCTCTGGGGGTAACCCAGCCCTTACAAGGGGAGGCGTGGAGGGTCCGCTTGGTATCGGGTGTCACGGGCGGGCTGCGCTGGGCCAGGCAGGGCACAGGGAGCGGCATGGGGGCAACAAAGAGTACCGGGGAAGC